CACTATCAGCTTGCTTCTTATCGTGCTCACGGTGCATCTCCAGGTAAAGTTTTCTTGCTTCAAGCTGTTCTCTCTCACGCTCACGTTGTTGGGCAGCATCGCGTTCCTGTTCTTCTTTCTTTAGGGCAGCCTCGCGTTCCTTTATCTGGAGAGCTTCTTTCTGTTGTTGTAGAGCTTCATTTTGTTGTTCACGCTCTATTTTCGCTAATTCGAGCTTTAACTTCATAGCTGACAGAGCATGTCGATCTGCAATAGAATACTTGTCGTGAGAATCATAGTCTATAATTCCTTCATCTAAGAGGTGGTCCAGGAAAATGTTGTGCAAGTCACTTTGTTGGCTCCATGGGGAACATCTAGGTGATACTCGTGTGCTAGAGTTTGTAATTCTGTCCTCTTGGCACGAATTAAGTTCCCAAATTCACTAGTTGGATCACTACGAAATGCTGAGAGACGAAACATTTTGAGATAGCAAATAAATGTACACCGAACATACCTGTGATATTATAAGTGTCAGTAACAGGATGACGTGGCAACTGGTAACTATCCTGTGGAAATTCAATCGTTAATGTAAAAACAATTAACGTTAATATTAGATGTTAAATAATTATTCAATCAAAATTGCAGGAAATCTTGTACCCGGTACTCAAAATAAGAGAATAAGGGCAAGAAAATCCTACTAAATAAATGAAACCGATAGTTTCTAAAACAAATGAAACTTTTAATTGTTTCAAAAGTGAAAGGATAGTCCAAGAATGTAGGGATACCTTGCCGGGTCTCTATTAGACAGAAGCAAGGGGTTTCCTACTTAACTTTATGATACTTACAGAATTAGCGTTCTTTGTGCTCTGAAAAAGAAAGCCAATTCCCTACCTGAGTTTCCTACTTTCTATCATCATCTCTGACCGACGTGTAGGGGTGCGAGTGTCAACTGGTGACGAGAACTGCTGTTTAGGTCCCCACTCAACAGCGTAGTCTGTGCTAGAGGAACTGTGGCCATCTTTATCCTCCTTTGGTCGGATTGCAGAAGATAGGGTGCGTGGCCAGAAGACAAACCAAAGTACCAGGGTACCAAAATGATGATCTGCCGTAATTTGAGAAATATTCTAGGGACGAAAAAGGTGGAATACACGAGTAATAACACTGAGGGTTGAACGACCAATTAAGAGAGTGACTGGTCATTATTCGTCTGCCGTTGCTGAGTGGCGGTTGCTGTGGGGGGTGTGGAGCACCCGCTGGTCGGGGCTCCACCTGCCAGTATGGACGGGGCTAGTACTAGCCGTATTCGCAGGATAGACACAGTGCGGCTGGACTTTTCTGCTGATGTGGACTGGCCCGTTGTAGAAGTTGCTCTCCTAGACATCCTCCGTGTTGACGTCCCCGAGCTCCTGGGCCTCGAGAAGTTATCGCCCACCCGTGTTGCGGTGTCGTTCGCTACGTCACATGCTTACTGGGAGTTTGTGGCTTGCTGGAATAGCCGCACGCTTCCTCTTCCGGCTTCGGCTGTGTCTGTAGAGATCTCGGATCCCTGGGGGCCCTTGACGTTTGTGAGTATTCACGGCGTGCTGGTGACCTTCCCCGAGACGGCCCTCATGGCCTTGTTTACGCGGTTTGGGTCGGTGGTGAAGCACCGGTTGAACACTTTGAGTGCGGGCCGGCTGAAGGGGGTCCGGCTGGGTTCACGCACGCTTGTCATGCGGCTCACAAGCCCTATACCGTCCAGGGTCTCTATCCTGGGCTGTCTCTGAGGACTTTCTATCAGGGTCAAACCCGAACGTGTTTCCGGTGTGGTGCTGAGGGCCACGTAGTGGCTGGTTGCGACGCTCCTCATACAGAAGCCCCTTCAGTTTTCCTAGAGGATGATTTTCCTCGCTTATCTGTGCGTGTGGACTCCTCGGCGGATTCTCGCTCTGTGCAGGTGCCTGGTGTGGATCCCGCGGCGGTTCCGGATGTCGCTACGTCTGGACCGGATATGTCTGCCCCGCCGGTGAGCTCGTGGGACCTGGGGGCGCCTGTTTCGGACCTTCATCGTTCGATAACTGCGGAGGTGCATCCGCATCCGATGGCCTTGGGGGATGCTGTAGGGGTGGTGCCTGCGTCTCCTGCTGGAGGCCGTGTGCTTCCCGGGGCTGACGGAGCGGTGGTATGTGTGTCCACCCAAGTCCTCTGCCCGTCGCCTCTGGGAGTTTCCTCGTTGACGAGTACCTCTTCTCTTCTGCAGGTTCCGTCGCCCTCCCTGGATACCTCACGTGTGCTGGAGTCTTCCCTTCCGCCTGCTGTGTCTCTTCCTTCTCCGATTCCGGTCTCCGTTCCTAGTGGTGGCTTTTTGCCCCGCGTTGTTGAGGCTGCTGTTCTGCGTGAACGTGCTGTCCCGGCTTTGGTGCCGCCTGCCGATGGTTCTTATGGGACACCGCTTGCAGGGGGTGACAGCTCCGACGATCAGCAGCCTCTTTTTAAGCGCCGTCGCTCGGCTCGGGGTGCGTCACCTCGCCGGTCATGGTCGGAGGAGCATGATGCAATGGATGATGATGCTGTGGCCGACGCTGTGTTGCCTCCTGTGGTGCCTTCTGGGTTGGACGCTGTGCCTCCTGCTGGTGGCTCCCCTCAGTGGGCAGTTGCCCCTGGTAAGCGCGACCTTGTGGTGGTGTTGTCGAAGGATGTGAGGCCTCTGCTCCTGTTCCAGTTGGTGGGGCCACTGGGGCCCCTGCGGAGCCACTCTCCACGGGTCTCGGTGCGGTTCCTGACACCGAACGGAGTGCACGCCTTAGTGGGCGGGCCGGTGTGCGGCCTGCCGTGCAGTCAGGTGTGCTTCCAAGTGTGCGCCCGTGTGACCAGCTTCCTCGGGGGAAACCCGTCCCTTTTGTCCTCTCGACCGGCGAGGTGCTAGACAGATCTACGGCAACTGCGACTTTTGAGTGTGATGACCTGGTGCGTCCTGTTCCCTGGTGCCCATCTACCATCTGGGTTCCACGAGCGCAGTGTTTTGTCTCGGGAGTGCCAAATTCGATGCCTCGGCCTACTGCAACTCCTGGGTGTCCGATTCCTGACAGTGACCAACTTGTTTGGGAAGCTTATTGTTTACAGTTTCCTGCTCGGGAGTACCCGGAGAAGTATGAGTGATTGGTTTATTGGTGTGTTTGGTTTCTGTCTGTGTTGTGCGTGATGTTTCCCCGGTGCCTGCGTGCACAGGTGGGTGACCTTGTCTGTGCGTGTGGGTGGTGAGGGTGTTGTTCATGCCCCTGCGTGGCCTGTTTTATTGTATGTTTTGTGCTTTGCATTTGGTGTGTGTGTTTGTGTTGTGGTTGTGTGCGGTTGTGGGTGTTTGTTGTTATTTCTTTCGTGTCGTTTCGCTCGCCCTGTGTATTGTGTTGGAGTGGCGGGCGGTGTGGTTGTGTATGTCGCTTGTGTGCGTGTGTTTATTATCTTGTCCTTGTGACATTGCTTTATTATGTGTGCGGCATTGCTGTGTTTATGTTATCTCTGTATTTCCCTGTTTATGTATTTACCTGTTTTTCTGTTTTTATTTTTTGTAGTTTCCTGTAGCTTTGTACTTTTGCCTCTGTGTCGGTGGTTTATGAGGCCTGTTGTTGTTATGTACTAATCTGCACCTGAGTTGGGTTGTTGGGATGGGCTTGTTTTGTGTTTTCTTTCTGTATTTCTGTACTTACGTTTTTTGTGGATGTGACTATTTTATGTTATATATATATCATGATATTTATTTGTAACATTCTGTTTTTTGTTTGTGTGTGTGTGTGTGTGTGTGTGTGTGTGTGTGTGTGTGTGTGTGTGTGTGTGTGTGTGTGTGTGTGTGTGTGTGTGTGTGTGTGTGTGTGTGTGTGTGTGTGTGTGTGTGTGTGTGTGTGTGTGTGTGTGTGTGTGTGTGTGTGTGTGTGTGTGTGTGTGTGTGTGTGTGTGTGTGTGTGTGTGGGTGTGTACCCTCCAGTGCTCGTTTCGGGGTTTTCTCATTGTGCCATATTTTATGTGTTTTCTTTCTTGGTTTTTGTTGGGTATGTTTAGTTTGCATCCGTGTTTCCGTACTTTGTTATATTTGTCCTGTTTGTATGTATGTTTTGTTGTTTTCTATTGTCTGTTTTTGTATGTTGTGTATTTCTTTTATAAAAAAAAATAAATTAAGAGAGTGACAGAGGCCTCCAGTCACCACGTAATCCACAGTTATCCAACACTCACAATATGTTACCCTCGGAATGTACAAAATACACAGCACCATATAAATATTAAAAGTTATGAAAATATTGAAAAGCAACTGTATCAAAGCCAAGTACACTTACCAGAAATTGATGTTCTAGTATCAGTACCTGAGTGAGGCTCCTAGGACAGGCCCCCATTAAATGTGATGGAAAAAAAGTGTAGGTGTTCGGCAGTCCTAATGGCTGGTGCCTAATGGCTGGTGAACATGCCAAGCACATTTACAAAAAAAAAAGTTGACTGCATGGCTGTTAGGGAGTAAGGGTTAGCGAGTAAGACCTCCAATCCACAGTGGCTGGACTTGTTTACTCCATTCTTGTCGAAAGGGAGGCTTTTGTCTTTTGAGGGTTCTTCCTGGAAGGACGTGGTGATCTTCCGAGACACCGGTCCTATCCAGACTTTAATTTTAGAGAGTGCGTTGCAAGGTGCCAACACTCTCGACACTGGAGAGGTGGTACTGGTCGAAGGTGTCAAAACTGATACTCGAGCAGTACCCCTCCATAAGGTAGCCCTGGAATCTGATTTCCACAAGGGTGTTTGTATAGTCGGAGTCACTTCATACCTACCTTTCCCTAATGTTGATGAAATATTGGGTAATGATTTAGCAGGGGATAGGCAGTCTGGAGCCTCCTACCTTATTATGTTGCCTACCCCTAAGGTTTCCCTGGATTTACCCACCGCAGAGGATAATGTTGTGTACCCTGCGTGTGCGGTGATCAGGTCCATGGGACTTAAATGTAAGGGCAGCCCTGTGGTTGCCAAGGTGGTAAATCCCGAGGACACAAGGATCTTTCCAGGTGGTGAAAGCCTAGTGGACCTTGCGGACACGTTCATGGCTCGAATCAATGACGAGGCCAAGGACACTGTGGAGAGCCTACCATTATCTACTACCGAGAGTAGTGAGGAGGTGGAGGGGAACCCTGGTGAGTCTCAGCCTATGGCATCTGACCCAGGCATGGATGCTTCCTTGAGTGAACTGCAGAAGGCTGACTCCAGTCTTGCAGAATGTCACGATGTAGCTCTCTCTAAGGAAGAGATTGTAGATGCATCAACTGGGTACTATTACGAGGATTAGATTTTGATGAGAAAGTGGAGACCACAGAGTTCTCCCTTGTCAAATAAGTGGGAGATAGTACACCAGGTTATGTTGCCTACCTACCATAGAGAGAAAGTTTTGGCAGCTGCTCAAGATGACCCTATGGGGGGACATCAAGGCATTATTATTACATATCATAAGATCTTTAAATGTTTCTACTGGCCCAAGTTGAACAGTGATGTGGCAAAATTTTGTAACTCTTGTATCCCTTGTCAGCTTGTGGGGAAACCAAACCAGACACCACCTAAAACTCCTCTAAGGCCTATTGTCGTGCCGGAGGAATCATTTTCTCATGTGGTAATGGACTGTGTTGGTTCATTACCGAGGACTTAGTCTGGGAATATTTACTTGATAACAGTGATGTGTATCACGACCCGTTACCCAGAGGCTTTTGCTATAAGGAACATCCAAGCAAAGACTTATTGCCCGTATGTTGCAATTTTTCTCAACTTTTGGACTGCCTCGGGTCGTTAAACCTACATTGGTACTAATTTTAAGTTTGATATTTTTGAGCAATTTTGTAAGGACCATGGAATAACTCATAAGGTTTCTAGCCCATACCATCCACAGAGTCAGGAGGTAAATGAGCGGTTCCATTAGACGTTAAAACAGATGCTGAAGATATTGTGTGAGAATTCAAATAGGTTTTGGGATGAGAACTTGCCTTATGTTTTGTTTGCTGCTCGAGAGGGGTTACAAAGATCACTGGGTTGTTCTCTTTTTGAGTTAGTCTTTGGCCATAAATTCAGTGGACCCTTACAAAAGTTACACGAGAATCGTTAGGTAATGTAATGTTGACCGAGGGTTCGGCTTTCTTTGCGCAACTCCACAAGTAGGTTTCCAAGGAGATACATAATGGAAACAAATGTTGATCAGCGAAGTTGCAGAATCTGTGGTGAGAGAATCTGTGGCGGTGTTGATTTTACGTTAATTGAACGTTACTCGATTGTGTTTTATCCGCTGGGTTAATTGCTCATGAGGAATAGATTGTTTGATGCTAGATGTATTCTTTGGAGTAGTTATTATAAATGAGTATTAATATGATCTGAAAGTGTGATGCTTTGCAGGTTGATTAATACATAACAAGTGCAGGAGTTGGCAACTGTGTGTTTGCTAGTGTTGGAATATTTTGTATTTAGAAATTATGGATGTTATTCAGATGGTATTCAGACAGCTAGAAAAGAGCTTGGAGATGGCTAGTCCACTATGAAGTAGACAAACAAGTGTTTTGATCAAGCTCTTCACTGTGTTACTGATATGCGAATTGTGTACTGGGTTGAAAATATGTACAAGTAGAATTGAACACCTGTGTAAACTTTTTTAGTCTCTGATTATTTAACTGTACAGAGGTCGTCTTACTTTTTTAAATATTATTTGAAATGTCGATTAATTTTTAGTCCAGGGTTACCTTCTTCCCATGCCAACCACATGCAAACATGCCTGAGAAGCTAGGCCTAGTGTACTGGGCAATCGACTGTGCTGCCATCTATTCAGTGGAGATGGAGAATTGATAGGCTCAGAATTGTTTCTGGGGTCAAAATAAAATGAAGCTGCAGAAATTGACAAGCATCACTGTAATAGCTGTGATGTAGTTGTCAGCCACACACGTTGACGTAAAAACAGTCAACTGTGTTGCATATCACTGCTAATGCCTTGTTAAAGATTTACAATCTGGCTGGCTGGTGGGTTGTTTATTTGACTGCTGCCATAATAGCTAGCTGGTTGGTTATATAGCTGGATAATCAGTTATCTGGCTGCCTGCCTGACTGGTAGATTTGTTGATCATCCTGCTAGAAGGGTGAAGATGATACTGTGTGGGTCAATGAGGACATGAGCATGCCACTCCCGGAAAGCACCGTCATCCCTTTATTAATACCCATTCCTGACGCATACCAACAGTCGGAGTTCCACCTGCGCTGCCGTTGAGTGGGGACGTGTCGCTTGTCCGCTCCGGCAGTTTGTGATCGTTGCCGTTTTCGCCGGCAGGGGGTGTGGGGGGTTTACCCTCCCTGCTGTTCCTGGTGGTGGAGACATGTGGCGTGTTTTGCGATGGGCGGCCCTATTCCCGCTTTCGTGCGGTTAAACTCCATCGGATTGGAGTTTACTGGCCGTGCTGGTTACCCGCTGGTGGACGTGGTGTTGAGTGACATGCTTCGTGTCCCGGTTGGGGACGTATATGGCATTGAGCTGGTAACTGCTCACCGTGTTGTTATCAAGTTTGTGGGTGAGGTAGTGTACCGTGCTTTCTTACGGAGGTATGAGGGACGTACTTTGCAGTTACAGGATGGCACCGGGTCTGTGACCATTTCAGACCGTAGTGGTGCTGTGACGTATGTCAGTGTTCATGGCGCCCCCATGGAGTTTCCTGAGACTCTCCTCCGGCGATTCTTCCAGAGGTACGGCTCCGTCGTCAGTGTGCGGATGAACTCCCTGTCGTCTGGCACGTATTCGGGTGTGAAGACCAACATTCGGACCCTCGGGATGCGACTGAGGTCGGACATACCCTGCTCTGTCCGGCTGTTGGGGTACTACGTGCGTGTGTTTTATGCCCGGCAACCCCGTACTTGCTTCCGGTGTGGCTTGTTGGGGCATCAGGCTGCCGGGTGTACTGCTGATCCGGTCACTCCTGTGAACTTGTTCCGTGAGGAGGATTTCCCGCCGCTCCCTCTGGAGGAGGACTCCGGGGGTGAGGAGGTGAGCGTCCCGTTCGCTGCTGCAGCTTCCCCGGCGGCGCCTGCCGTCCCTCCTCCGGTTCTTGAGGTACCGTCGGTTGGTCTGCCTGATCCTGTCGCTGTCCCGGCTGCTCCCGTGGGCCTTCCTGGAGCTCCCTTGACGTCGCTGTCTTCTCCCTCGTCTTCTGATGCTGCGCCTGGCCCTGTGTCCGTGACTCGGGTCCCGGATGTGCTTGGTGCTGGGGTGGCTGCTGAGCCTCCTGCTGTGTGTGGCCCGGTTCCCCCTGTGGTAGAGGCTGCTGCCGTCCTGGCGTCGGTTCCTTCGGCTCGTGGTACCCGTGTTTCTGGGTCACTTACCGGCTCTGACGATATCCGGCCGGTGCCAAAACGTTCCCGGCATTCGTCTTCTACCTGGGCCGACGCTGGTGACTTCAGTGACTGTGGAGCTTCGGATGTTGACAGTGTGGATACGGATGCGTCGATGTCTCCGCGGTTCGTGGTGGCGGAGGTCCATGTGCCTGCCGGTGCTGGTGCCTGTGTCTCGGACGTGCCTTCGGTTCTTTCTCCGCCGGGGGACTCTCCACAGTGGGGGGTGGTGGCTTCCGCTGCCAGGGATGGTGTGGACTCTGGTGCTGGGCGTGGCCTGGTGGTGACGTTACGGAAGGATGCGCGCCGTCCGGGTTCCCTGCTGTCGTCTGGTGGTGTGCCCGGGGGCGCGAGTGCCCCTGTGGTGCGGGTGCGCGTTGGGGCCCTGGGGGACGTGTTGCCGGCGTCTGTGATGCCACCGAATCACTGGTCGAAGATTGCCGAGTTACTGCTGTCTGACGGACCGGAGTGCTTTCGTGGGGGGGCAAGTTCCCTTCCTGTGGGGGAAAGTGGCAACTTCTCGCCTCATGAGTTCCACCATCTGGGTCCCCAGTTTGCAGGTGTTTGTTGCCCCGGTTCCGGATGTTATGGCGTCCCCGGTGGATGGACGAGACCCTTGGCAATGGGTGCTCTGGGAGGCATTCGATGTAAGATTCCCACGGGCCCAGTTCCCGGGCAAGTATGTGCTCTAATTTCTTGTGTATTTGCTCTGACATGCTGTGTGCCCTTCTGGCTGTTTGTTTGCCCTGTTCTATTATGTGCTTCTGCCTCTCCCTTTGTGCGTAGCTTTGCCGTGTGGCACATTAGTTTCTAGTGCTTGGCGTCACTCGTTTCGCGTTTTGGCTTAGCGTTTCGCCTTTCCTGGCTTTGCGATTCACCCTTCACGGGTACGCCGGGGCGCATTCGATCCCACGATCGTCGTCGCCCCTAACTCAACAACAACAACATACCAACAGTCGACACCCACCAACCTTCCTAACGCCTGCCAACCCTCCCGACACTCACTAGTGAGTGAGCGCATACTAGAGAATTTGTCTTTTACTTTGAACTCATTTTGAATGGGATGCCGTGTGAACTACCAATGGAAATCAAAACACATTTACAAGAGGGAGGTCTCTTGAGCAGACAACAACAGTGCCATGCTCTGCATCAGAGTGGCAGATCGTGCCACACCGGAGCCGGCCGGCTGAGCGGACAGCACACTGGATTTGTGATCCTGTGGTCCCGGGTTCGATCTTGGGCGCCGGCGAGAAACAATGGGCAGAGTTTCTTTCACCCTATGCCCCTGTTACCTAGCAGTAAAACAGGTACCTGGGTGTTAGTCAGCTGTCATGAGCTGCTTCCTGGGGGTGGAGGCCTGGTCGAGGACCGGGCCACGGGGACAAAAAAGCCCCGAAATTATCTCAAGATAACCTCAAGTGATTTTTGTAGTCTAAGCCAGTGTTTTGGTATCTCTAAGTGTACTCTAAGGTAACTAGCGAAACCACGTGTATTAATGTTTACCACGGCTGCTTCAAGCTTTTACAAGTGCCATTCAGGGAACTAGTCTTTACCCGAGTGTGCAATTGTAAACCTTGCATCCTGCTTATGTGGACCAAGGTGTTTAACGTAAGGTAGAGTGGTAAAGTGATTTATTGTATTTTTGTATATGGGGGTTATTAGAGGGTTTAATAAATAAGGATAGAGTTAGGAATATATTTTCATCCTGTTTAGAATAGAGTAGGTGATTACCTTAGACGGTAGACGTATTTCTAGCCAAACAAGTATTCATTGGTGGGAATATTTTTCCCTGGGGGCCGGGACCTATCTATTTCCACTATTTTAGGAACTCCTTTAATTGTAACTATTGGCCCTCTCAGTACAACCACCTGCCCCTCATAACAGAGAGGCTGCAGGATCCAAATAAATTGAGTTGAATTTCTGGTTGCAATTCTTAAACCA